TCTTGAACTTAGAATTTTCAAGTCTTAAAAAAAGGTTAAAGATAAAAGATAAAGCATTGAAGTACTTTTCTGGAAAATTTTCTATTTCAAAACTTTAAAATATTTTTCCTCAAAAGCTATTACTATATTTCTAACAAAATGTACTATAATTGAATAAAAACAAATTCTTTTTAATATCCCACTAAAATGAGTTAATACTAGTTAGAATCAAACAATACTTTCTATTTTTAAAAATTGGATATCAAACATGGCAGGAAAAAAAGGGCAACAGATACCAAATAATATATGCCAGAAATCGTGCATACTTCATTAGGTGCTTAAGGATTTTAGTAAAATTTATGTACTGTCCTCTAAATTTTTCTAAGAAACAAAATTCATTATTCAGTTTCCATGGACCTTTTACAATATCTGAAACATGAAAAAACTTGCCACCAGATTAACTAAGACTCAATTCACTTCCGTGTGATTTCACCATTGTTTCTTCTACCTCACTCCCACATATCTTAAAGATTTTCTTGTCTTAATATATATTTCTCATCATGAAGGCAGTGAGGTCACGGTATGCAGACATCTTACTTTCCTTAATTCAACCTATAAGCGCTGCAGGTGGAAATCAGAGGATTTCCACAGCACAGACACTATTCAAGGGAGTAAGCACACACCTTCCCCAGGGAGTACCAAGCTAAGACATGGGAAGGGAGCTGTCCAATTACCATGCTTCTCTCTCCCGTGTGCTTGCTGCCAAGCTCTGATCCCAGTGTTTATAAAGTACTTTTTGTGTGACAAAGCCTCTAAAGTAAGCCAACCTGTAAACCTGGTGCTTAACTAAGAAGTTTATTTTTGGAGTTCCTGGAAAAAACTAGCTATTTCACACTGTTGTGAGATGCTACATATGTATACCATATTTAATCACTTTAAGGCATTCGCAATAATTAATACTAAAATCTATTTCTTTTTAAAGTCACAAGTACCAACTTCACAACCTAACTCTAACATGCAACTACAACATATTTGCATTTTACTTAAATATTATGTACGAAAATGACACTCTTTAAAGCAGGGATGTCTTCTTTCTAAAGCCACATTCATTAACACAATTCTGAGATTTTCAAAGGCAACTCCATACATTTCTTTTCAGTTACTTCAGTTTCCTAACCGTATTACCCCCCTCTGTATTATCTGACCCAGTCTAACCCAACTTCCACCTTCTTTATAAAATCAGAGCCAGAAGAAATTCAGAAGTCACAAGTCAATTTCTTCTTCAAGCTCATAAAGCTGATGGCTGGAGACTTCCATTCAGTGAGCTCCATATTATTATAAAATCCCCACTCTCCACTTACAACAAATTTTTATAGAAAGGCAGAAATTTATTTGTACACAGAAGTTTAAAAAAAAACAATTTTTGTAAACTGGTATGAAAATTCAGTGAACAAATCCAGAGTATTAAGCTAAGCATGTCTGTGGTATTTAGAATCCTCAGTGCTGAGCTCTGTCTGAATCCCACTGAGAGCAGAACTGCTTTCTTTAATATTTCTCAACAACTTCTGGAGGAATCCCATAAAATTGGGCCTCTTGTTTACAAAATTTATACAATTAATTTATTATCTGATGACTTATTTTCATAATCCATATCCCTGATGTTTTATATCTGAACATTTTCTTAAACACACACTGCATCAAATAAATTAAACTCACTAGACAAGTCAGGAGTGGTGGCACACATCTGTAACTCAGCTACGTGGAAGGGTGAATCGGAGCATTACAAGTTCAAGGCCAGTATCTCAACATGACCCTGTCTCACAGTAAAATAAAAAAAAAGTTGGGGGCTGGGGATTTAGCTCAGTGGTGCCACAGCCTGCCTTGCAAGTGCAATGTCCTGAGTTCAATCCCTGGTACTGCAAAAACAGAACAAACCCCTACCAGAAAAAAACCCACACCCCCTTCAGGGTTCAGGGTATATGTCTGAAATTTGTTTTTAATAATGGCGGGGGGTCACAGTAAAATGTAAAGCTTCTATTCCAAGTTTTCAATTAAAAAAAAAATTAGATGAAATAATTTTCCATTCACAGGATGAGGTATGAACACTGAAAGAATTAGTGTGAAGATTATTTGTCTAGCATCAGTGTAGACTGTGTCACAGACATAATAAAGTTTCAGTCATACAAGATATAATTCCTGGGCCGGAGATTTAGCTTAGTGGCACTGCACCTGCCTGCCAAGCACAAGGTCCTGAGTTCAATCCCTGGTACCGAAGAAAAAAAAAAGATATTAATTCCCTAGAGTCCACTTTTCATGGCATATACTATTTCATTTAAAAGATGAATACAGAACAGCTAATATGTTTTACAGTGAATGTTTTTAAAAAATAAAACCTCTTAAATCCTTGAATTAAAGTCAAATCTAAGAATCATGTTTTAATGACCTTACCTGAAATGCAAATGTGCTTTATAAAATTCAAGATACAAAGATTTTCATTGATACATTCTAAGGAACCATGATATCTTTTGACTTGCTTAATTAAAACCTTCCAGTATGCGATTCCAGTTTGTGTTATAACCTATTTCACCTTTGAGAATCAAAGGAAGGCAAAGCAGACTCTTTCCAGAAACTCCCATACGTGTTCAAAATCTGAACATGACGCTAAAGGGAAGGGTCATCCTGACACCTATCACCTTTGGAGAAATGACTACTACCCCTAAATAACAGAACAGAATACTTCGGTATTCAAATATCCTCCACTGAGACTGAGAAGATGATCAGGCGGTGGTCTGGGCCCTGAAGATACGATGAACGCTGCTTCACAACCACAGTGGCCTGATACCGCTGTCATGCTCCGTAATCCTGAGACACTAGACCCTGTGCCACCTACCATGATCTCCATCTCTTACTCAGACTCCCCAAGCCACTTTGATCTACTTCAGCCACTGCTCACAAGCAGCCATCACTTTGCCCTCCAATACCTTCAAGTGACACAGCTCTGGGCTTCACAGGACAGACCATTCCAGCTTTAAGCAAACCTGAAAAACTGCAAAAAAAAAGTCTTCTAATTTGACTGCCTGGCTTGCAGGTGTTTTCAATGCTGCCCTGCAGAAGTTCTCCAGCAATTACTTGTCAATAGATAAATTAGCTTACCAAAGTGCCTAATCCTAAAAATCAGAAGCAAAGATCATTTAGCTCTATACTTTTACCAAAGAGGAAAGTCAGATTTATTGTGAAAAGCACTTTTTACATGAAACTTTAAAAACATGGTTTCATATTCCTTCAGTTAAAAAAAAAATGGAAGATTTCCATACGCACACCAACTCCTACACCTTGTCAGGCTTACATTTTAAATTTTTTTATGCAGAAAATGATCAGCATTAAAAGATAAAGATTGCAGGCACTTAAAATCAACGCCATCTGCAAAGTCTATTCTCTATTTCTACTTATGACTGTGATTCTGTAATAAGTACTTATAATCAGTGTGACATAAATATAGCAGAAATCATTATTTATTCATTAGCTAAAGCTAGGCTTTCAAGAACTGTAAGTTGTTTCAGTCACCTTCAACAGCTTCTTTTTTGCAACACAAAAAATATCTCCTATTGAAATTAGTGCATTAATAGTCTATCACAGGTAAGCTAGTCTACAATAAAAATGCTTGATTTCTTTTAAAACAAAGGAAATACAAACAACTGTATGTAATCTTTTCATTCGTAATCCCAAATCAAAGAGGACAAAAAGGCTCATAAATATGCAAACAGTAACTGATTTATTTGAATCAGATAAAAGCTGTTAACCAACAGTTAACTGGTTAAACCAGCAAAATCTGATTTCTCAAGGGTTACCTAAGTAGGCTCTTTCTTTCCTGGGCTGTCTCGCGGAGCCAGACAATGCACAGTCCTAAGGAGGAATCTATGCTGTAAGGAGCTTCCCTCTGGTCCTTCAATAATTAAATTTCCTGCAGGGCTACAAAGCAGGTCCACCTAACTGCTTTCTGTCTAATTTTGCAAACTTAGCAAACTGGTATTTCAGTAAGTTTACATCGTAAATATACAATACTCCCTTGGTAAGAAATACATTTCCTGATATATAACTGCTTCTTTACTTTTTCACAGTGGCTTGAAGAGTAACTGTTTAATCAAAAAAGGTGGGGGGAGACAAGACCACATGTTACCTTATCAAACTGCGTTATACACAGAAGCTACTCTAAAGCTCTGGAAGGCAGTCCTGCCAGCGTTTATCTTATGATACAATCATCTATCTCATCTATGTAGTTAATTTTCCCAACTGAAAATACTTTCATCACCAACAAAATGAGTGCAAAATTTCTCATACTGTACACCGCAAGACTACCCCATTATTTAAAACGGAGTCAAAACCAATCCAGTATGTATCAACCAAGCAAAGGTTGTCAACCTGGAATTATTTTAATCAAGTCTGCTTTTTCAACACAAAGTTCTTTCACTGCGTTGGGTTCTTATAAAACAACGCTCAAGTAGCTTCCTCTGGACCAGGACTACAGATACCAAGTTTGTCAAACCTGCCCCACCCCTTGAAAGAGCGGATGCCTGGAACCCTTTACCGCGCTCCCTCAAGTAGTAAGTGCGGCTACGGCAAATTCAGGCTGACGCCAGGAGCGGCACATTTTCCACTACGATTTTCTTAAGTAGGCTGTGCATTACCCTCAGCAACAAACGTCACCAGGGTTCAGGAGCGACGAAGGGAAGAAAGGAGTAGGCAGAGAACCCGTAAGATCGCCCGCCCAACTCTCGCCTGCACACTTCTCCCGCTACTTTCAACATGAAGTCGGCAAATGCAAAGAACTTAGGAGCCCCCCGCCTGCCACGGCCACGCAG